TCAAAGCTCCGCCGGCGCGCCACTCACTGGCGCCGCACCTGTGGAAGAGCCTGGCGCCGCACCTCCACTTCCTCCTGCTCCATCTTCTGGCCACGCGGGTACCGCGGGAGTGGCAGACCTTGGCGTCGCAGTGCCACTATATATATATATAGAAATATATATCTATACATGTATAACTATATTTCGATATTTGTATATTAGCGCGATGCCAGCATCACTTGGTGGCGCGTGCTCTAGCGGCTGCGCACTCGAGAAAGAACACTGTGTTCGGGACCCTAGCAGAGCCTGGTGCCACTCAGCCGCGCGGCCCCGCGCCGCCGCTGCGCCGCATCGACTCGACTCAGAGCTTGCACTTCGCGAAGCATCGGCCCATGCAAGCCTGGCAAAGCCTGGCCTACACCTCTGTCTTTGTCCTTCGCGCCCTCCGCTGCGCCCTCGGGAGTCGAAGTGCCAATGTTTGCGAAAGCATGTGGTGCGCGGCCTGCCTGCGCGCTGGACGCCGAGCGCATCGCACCAGCGGCATTTCCAAACGCTAGCTCGGCGTTCCCCTCGGCGACGGCCAGACTGAGTCACACTTTTCTGGCTGCGTCGGTTCTTTCGGCCGCAGTACTGCCGCCAGGCTGCGCGCGCACTTCGCAACCGCTGGGCCTTCGTGCTCGGTGGCTTACCTGCCAGGGCCTGGGCTGCCTCGCTGGTGGGTACCAGAAACCCGAGTTTGCGCAACTGGTCAGCTATTTGCGTGCCGCAAGGGTGCGCGCACGTGCACATACGCCGTCACTGTGAAGCGTGGGCCCCCGCCAAAGACACGTGTGCCACGCGGCTCCCAGGCATTGAACAAGAGAAACTGATTCCTCACAGTGCAAATTGCAACTTGGTGGGCAGCGACATCGTACCGCCACAAACGACCACACGCAAAGCGCCTCTACTTGTCTATCCATATATGTGCCGAATTGCCTTGTATTTGTCGAACTTTCTATCTGCAACTGTGTATCCACCTATCTGGGACAACCTTCAGCACACCCATCAAGACACCCATCAGGACAAGCATCAGGACAAGCATCAGGACAAGCATCGGGACAACCGTCGGGAAAATCATCGGGACAACCGTCGGGACACCCATCGGGACAACCATCGGAACAACCTTCGGGACAACTATCAGGACAACCATCGGAACACCACCATCGGGACAACCATCGGGACAACCAAAAAGACAACACTCGGGACACCCATCGGGACAACTAACTATCGGGACAACACCATCGGAACAACACCATCAAACCAACCATCGGGACAACCAAAAGGACAACACTCGGGACACCCATCGAGACAACCATCGGGACAACCATCGGGACAACCATCGGGACAACCATCGGGACAACCATCGGGACAACCATCGGGACAACCATCGGGACAACCGTCGGGACAATCATCGGGACAACCATCAGGACAACCATCGGGACAACCATCGGGACAGCCATCGTGACAACCATCAGGACAACATCGGGACAACCGTCGGGACAATCATCGGGACAACCATCAGGACAACCATCGGGACAACCATCAGGACAACCATCGGGACAACCATCGGGACAACCATCGGGACAACCCGCGGGACAACCCGCGGGACAACCATCGGGACAACCATCGGGACAACCATCGGGACAACCATCGGGACAACCATCGGGACAACTATCGGGACAACCATCAAGACAACCATCGGGACAACAATCAGAGGCCGCGCCCAGCCGGGGGGGCGGGGGGGGCGGCGACCCTTTGAGCTGCATGTGGCCCATGTGGCCTCTACAACTGCAGGAACTCACGCAACTTCGCCTCGCCCGCACGCACGAAACCGATTTCCTGGTTGGGGTCATTTCCGTTCACACCCCCAATCTCCGATCAGCATCAGAATACTCATCATCATCATCATCATCATCATCATCATCATCATCATCATCATCATCATCATCGTCATCATCATCGTCATCATCATAATCATCAGCATCATCATCAGCATCAGCATCATCCTCGTCATCGTCATCGTCAGCAGCATCATCAGCATCAGCATCAACAACATCATCGGCATCATCAGCATCGTCATCAGCAGCAGCATCAGCATCATCACCACCATCACCATCATCAGCATCATCATCAATGTCAGCATCATCATCATTCTCATCATCATAATCATCAGCATGGTGGTCAACATCATCAGAATCACCATCATCGGCACCAACACCACTACCACCATCATCATTATCATCACCATCATCGTCGTCATCATGATGAGCATGATCATCATCAGCATCGTCATCAGCATCAGCATCATCAGCATCAGTACCTTCTTCATCATCAACATCATCATCATCATCAGCATCATCATCATCTTCGTCATGATCATCATGATCATCATGATCATCATCATCATCATCATCATCATCATCATCATCTTCATCATCCGCATCAGCATCAGCAACCGCATGATCCTCATCATCATCAGCATCAGCATCACCAGCATCACCAGCATCATCATCGTCATCGTCAACATCAGAATCATCAGCATCATCATGGTCATCATCCTCACCATCATCAGAATCATCATCATTCACAGTATCAGCATCATCAACATCAGCATCATCACCATCATTATCATCATCATCATCATCATCATCATCATCATCATCATCATCATCATCATCATTATCACCAGCATCAGCATCATCACCCATCATCATCATCATCATCATCATCAGCATCATCATCATCATCACCTTCATCATCAGAATCATCATCATCATCACCACCACGATAATCAGCATCATCAGCATCATCATCATCATCATCATCATCTTCATCATCATCATCATCAACAACAACATCATCAGCATCACCATCATCATCAGCATCATCATCATTATAACCAGCATCACCATCATCATCATCATCAACATCACCATCATCATCAGAATCATCATCATCATCATGATCATCACCACCACCACGATCATCATGATCATCATCAACATCATCATCATCATCTTCATCATCATCATCATCAACAACATCATCAGCTCATCAGCATCAAAGTCATCATCATCACCATCACCATCACCATCATCACATCATCATCATCATCATCATCATCATCATCATCAGCATCATCATCATCATCATCATCATCATCATCAGCATCAGCATCAGCATCATCATCATCATCATCATCATCATCATCATCATCATCATCATCATCAATCATCATCATCATCATCATCATCATCATCATCATCATCATCATCATCATCATCATCATCATCATCATCATCATCATCATCATCATCATCATCATCATCATCATCATCATCATCATCATCATCATCATCATCATCATCATCATCATCATCATCATCATCATCATCATCATCATCATCATCATCATCATCATCATCATCATCATCATCATCATCATCATCATCATCATCCCCCCTCCTCCTCATCCTCCTTTCCTGCTGCTACTGCTCAGAATGCAACCGCCACGACGATTACGCTGTTCCTCATGCCTCTCCTGATCCTGCTCCTGCCGCCTCCACGCCCGAGAAGCGTTACCCATCCACAGCCGTGCTGGATGGCAGGCAAAACACTCCAGCATTGACGCGGCACGGACCACCCCCGACACGAGAACACTGGAACTCGAACGCCCGACACCGGTACGGAAAAACAGGCACGATGTCAAACAGCAGATTGTCCAAACCCACCAGAGGCAACTATTCGGCAGGCCGCTGCAACACCGACAGCCTGGGTTTAAGTCGGGCCTGTACTCCTACAGGAGGATTTTGGACGAAAAAGTGAAAAACAAACAAAACAAAATGGCAAAAGAATACTCCAAAAAAAATCTCCATACTATCTTTTGACTATTTTTGAACATCCCCCCTGTAGAGGGACACGCCCGACTTAAGCCTAGGGGACAGGAGCTGATGCTGCTCTTCGTCCAGGCTCCTTCTGCCACCGCCTCGACCAAACCGATTGGCTGTGCCAGTGGCAATCCACCACCGCCTCTTCCCAGCTGGCTCAGCACCAGCCACGGCAGGATCCTCGATCCTCGATCCTCCATCCTCGATCCTCGATCCTCCACCTCCTCCACCTCCTCCTCCTCCTCGATCCTCGATCCTCGAGATTCTGGCCCCCGTCCCTCGGGATGGCAGACGAATCGGCCACGGCAGGACCGGTAAAGGCCGCGAGCGTGCCTGCCACCACGGCGAATCTGGTTCCGCCACCGTTCGAGCCGCCACCGCCGGAGCCGCCCGACGTCGCCGGTCTGACTGCCAAAGACCGTTTGTGAGCGACGAAAATCCCCCATGTCCGCGCCATCGCACTCTGGAAAGCGAGGCGCGATCCCATGGATACGTGATCCAATGGACGCGCTCCACGCGGGGCATCTGCGCAAAGCCGCCCCGTATCCGCGGGGTCGCGGCCGAGGAATACGGATAGCGAGGCCTTTGATATGGGATGAGGAATGGGAAAAGGAAGAAGGGAGGAGGAGGAGGAGGAGGAGGAGGAGGAAGAGGAAGAGGAAGAAGAAGAGGAGAAAGAGCAGTCAAGAAGGATAAGGATGAGGGTGAGGAGGAGGAGACAGAATCAAGGAGAAGAAAGAAGATGAGTCAAGGAGTCCAGGAGGGAGGGAGGGCGGGAGGGAGTGGAGGAGGCCGAGGTGGAGGAGGACGAAGAGGAGGGAAGAAGCGGGATGGAGGAGACGGATGACGGGGGCGGCGAGGCGCAGAAGGACGGGACAAGGAGCGAGGCCGAGGAGGAGCGGGCTGACGAGGAGGCCACTGCGCGCCCCCCCGCGGCCCGCCATCTCGCACATGAATATGACGGAGAAGATCACGTCGCCCCATCGGAGGACCTGGAGAGGCGGCGAGAGGGCGAGGAGACGGAGGTGGAGAAGCGAAGATCGAGGACGACGACGAGAAAACGGAAGGAAGACAAGGAGGAGGAGGAGGTGACGGAGGACATCGAGCGGTGCCATAGGAGAAACGACGAGGCAATCGAGAGGGGAAGATGGAGGATGACGACGACGACGACAACACGGAAGGAGGAGGAGGACGAGGAGGAGGAGGAGGAGGAGGAAGAGAAGGCGGAGGATCTGGAGGTAGAGACAACGGAAAACGAGGAGAAGGATAGGGGAAGACAGAGGACGACGACGACGACGACGACGACGCTATCCTAACAAATCAGAATAAACACAAAGTTTCGGAGGTCCGTGCCGATTCCTAGATCCGGCGCTGACCCCCCGTGGCGGTGCCTCAGGCGCCGCCACACCCTCCATAATGGGTTCATCTCGTGGCCCTCCGCGGCGGTGGTAGGTCATAGCCCTGAGCCCTGGAGCGACACAATTCCGACGACCAAACTCGCCGAATCCGTCGTAACGGCGGGGGCGTGCACACACTTCGATGTCGGCATTTTGGGCCCAGAGCGCGAAAGCGACGAGGCCAGACCGGAGTTAGCTGAACTCTCCGGGGGGCATTGCCACGTTGAAAGCATCGACTCATGTTATTGAGTCTGCGGGCTGTACCACGAGGATGAAGCGCAGGGAGGAGAAGGGGAGGGAAGTGGAAGGGTATGGCGGAGGGGAAACCCCTTCGAACAGCATGCATAATCACAAGAGTACAGTATCGAGTTTATGTGGGTAACAAAACAAGCCACGGCCACGCCCAAACACTCATCAAGTACATCAGAACGTGTTTGTCGGCGCAAGACGACTCCCCGCATAAACCGGGCGGGAAACTCAAAGATGGGTTGTACATGCCCTCCTCGCGCTCCGACTCCTGGCCCAACCCACGACGCCACGGCAAACAGAAATGCAGCATACAAGGTCGCGTCGAAACTCAGGCGTATAGACGGCGATCACGAAAACTCAAAACATCATAGTTCGTTCAAAGAGGAGTGCGCTCGAGTACGAGGGCGTCTTGGGGGGCGCTGATGACGATGACGGCGATGACGGCAAGGCGACGACCCTGGTCAACGGCTCACGCGGGTCGCGAAGAGGACTGTCGACGGCCATGAAGACGCACGAGGTCAAGATGCAGAACAAGATCACGTTGTCGAAAATCTCGGCGGCGGAGGAGGGAAGAGGCAGGCGGGAAAGAGACACAACAAAAGCGGAGGAGGATGAGGAGGAGGAGGAGGAGGGAGAAGGGTTAGGGGAGGAGGACGCGCGGGGTGGGACAGGGGAGCAGAAAGGGGGGAACGCGAAGGAGGGGGGGTAAATGGGGGGAGGAGGAGGAGGACGAGGAGGAGTGGAGGGAGGAGGGACGAACGAAAAGAGCACTGGGCGACCAGAAGGGGCATCGCCCCCTGAGGTGCCATGGAAAAGGGCGGCGGACACAAGCACAGTCGAGCTTGATCCGAGAGGACGCGCGACAGGAACACAGGACCCCTGCGAGGCCACGCTGCCCCAGGAACGCGAACGCACAAGACGCCCGCTGGAAGGCTCGACCCGCTAGATCTCGGACGGTGCAAGAAAACGACGGCCCTCCCACCAAAGCCCAGCCCCGCCCAAAACCGGCACTTGGACCCCTCCCGCGCGGGTCCGGCCGCGGCGGCGGCTCCCGCAACAGTGGGCCAGCCGCCTCGCCGCGGGCGCCCGCGCCGCGCCGGCGGCAGGGGGCGGGCGGCCCCCCAATGCACCCAAGAGGTGGTCCCTGACCCACTAGATAACCTCCACGATCGAGACGACCGCTCACTCCTTCTGGGGGTCAGCGGAATAGCGTCGGCCACTGGAATCGAGCGCACCTGCGGGGGGTCTTGTATGATGTTCTGCATATGTTCATGCCGTCGTGGAGCCGTCTGCGCCTCGTCCGGCGAGAACTGGAGTGGGCGGGCGGTGGACGCGAAGCGTCTTGAATCAAACTAGGCTGCAGCACTGCGCCAATCCGCTGCGGGCGCCCGCGCCACGTCGGCGACACGGGGGGGGCGAGAGACCGAGCCGTGTCGACCGCGCGCGGGGCTCGGGCGACGGGGGCGGGCGGGTCGAGGCCGAACCAGCTGCCAGAGACGCCGACGCCTCCTGCAGCTCCTCCTCCTCCCCTCCTCCTCCTCCTCCTCCTCCTCCTCCTCCTCCTCCCCTCCCCCTCCTCCCCCTCCCCCTCCTCCCCCTCCCCCTCCTCCTCCTCTCCTCCTCCTCCTCCTCCTCCTCCTCCTGCTCCTCCTCCTCCTCCTCCTCCTCCTCCTCCTCCTCCTCCTCCTCCTCCTCCTCCTCCTCCTCCTCCGCACCCCGAGGCTGGTCAAAAAAGCGGGCCGGGTGTTTCGCATTCCTCACATATTCTGATCCTGATACCCGAAATTTGCAGTAGCTTCACGGACGGAGGACGGTCACTTTTCCAAATGTGGCTCTCGCTTTAGCGCCAAACACACTCGTTTTCAAAAATTAGCAGTGCATCACGGCTGGAGGGCGGTCCGTTTTCAAAATGTGGGTCTCGCCTCAGCGCCGCGCACATTCGTGCTAAAATGTTGCAAGAGCTTCACGGATGGAGGACGTTTCTTTTTCAAACTGCAGCTCTCGCATTAGCGCCGCGCACATTCGTCGCAAAAATCGCAAGAGCATCGCGAATGGAGGGCAGCTCCTTTTCATAATGTGGCCCTCGCCTGAGCGCCGCGCGCACTCGTCGCAACGAAAGTTCACGAGAGCTTTACGGATGGAGTGGGGCTCTGGTTCAAAATGTTGTTCTCGCCTCAACGCGGCGCACATTCGCAGTAAAAGCTCTCAGCACTTTCAAGGAGTGTCATGGGTAACGCGCCAAAAGTAATGCTATGGCACTATATTAGAATGTCAGGGAACAACAGTCGCGTTCATTCGCGGCGTTGAAAGTCCGAGAAGGCGCGCCCGTGGTGCACTCCCAAAGGGGGGGTCCCCCCTTGGCTGCCCTCTCCCCCCTGCGGAAGCTCCCCCCCACCCCCCTCCTTTTTGTTCCAACCCTCGGAAGCTACGGCCTGTCCTCCTACAGGGGGATTCTGGACGAACAATGAACAAATGATCCAAAAATACCCAAAATGGTCAAAGAATACTCAAAACATCGTCCCCTGACTATGCTTTGACTATTTCTGAATATTCCTCCTGTAGAGGGACAGGCCCGACTTGAGGCTACACCCCTCCCCGTTTCCTTTCGCGCTCCCGAAGCTACCCCCCCCCCTCTCGGGGATGGACAGAACCCCCTTTAGTAAAACATGGTTTCGTGAAAACGACCTCGGGCCCAAACCTGGCGGGCGCAAGCCTGGGAAATGACGGCCGCGGCGCCCTCTCGAGAACCGACAACGGACAATTCACGAATCGACGCGTCACTGTTGGGGGTTCTGTCCACCCCCGAGAGGCCTCCCGGCGCTTCCCTCGGCCCTCGGCGGCCTCCCCGCCTCGCCACCCCCTCGGGCGCCCGCGCCTCGCCTCAAAGGGGGGGCCTCCGGGGCGGCGCGCCCCCAGATCCTCCCGAATATGGCCGCTGGAGGCCCGAGGGACGGCTCGAAAGCAGAACCAGACCTTGACAAGCAGGGTCAGGGTGGGAGGTCTGTCCACCCCCGACCCTCCCTCTCCAAAGGACGGGGGGGGGGCTTAGCTACCCCCCCCCCCTTGGCCCTCCCCTGCCGGACTCCGCCCCCCCTTCGAGAGCCACCTCTCCCTCCGTTCCTTTCCTCGAGAGCCTCCTTTCCTTTCCCTCCGCCCCTCCCTTCGAGAGCCTCCTTTCCTTTCCTCGAGAGCCACCCCCCCTCTCCCTTTTTTGCCCGCTCTTCGGCAGCACCCCCCAGACCTACCAGTTCAATATCACTCTTGAGAGGGAAGGGAGGAGAAGAGGGAACGAGAGAGAGAGAGAGAAACAAAAAGAGAGAGAGAGAGATATATATATATATATATATATATACATAGAGAGAGAGAGCGAACAAAAAATGCATTTGGGCGGCAGTTCGACGGGTTTGCACGGAAGAGGTCGAGCTCGCGAGAGGAAGAGAAGAAGAGGGGAAGCAGAAGCAGTCCCAGAGAGCCGAAGATGTCGCCCAGGTGATGGGCGCACCTGCCGCCCCACCCATCCTCGCCTGACGCTCACCTCCCTCCGCCAGTTCATGATTGGTGGAGAGTTGTAGCGCAGAGGGGTCACATCCTCACAGAGCCACAAGCAGACACCCTAGCCCTTCCCGGCCACAGCGTCGGAGTAGCTGGAGAAAAAGATGTGTCTGGCGGGCGGCGGGGAGGGACACATTCGTCCATTCCGCTTCTCGCTATTAGGCGAACGTCGGCTTGCCACCCTCTCCACCGTCGTGACCGCCGCGCCCCCTCCCCCTCTTTGGCCCACCCCTTCCCCTGCCTTCCAACAACTCGGCGCCAGCCGCCCTGCGGGACCGAAGCTGGCGCAAAGCCCGCTGCCCCGTGTCCAGCTCCCCCTCCCAACCTCTGCACTCCCATGGCAACCCGCTCCCTCTCATTCTCCCTGCTGTTCTTTCCCCTCTGTCCCCCTCTTTGCCCCCCTACCCACCTCCCCCCCCCCCTTCACCCTCTCCCCTCCCCTCCGCACGATGAGCCCGCACGCCGGGCGAGTCGGACTGCCGCACTCGCATAGCGCGACGCTCCCCTGGCTGCTGCACTCTCGCGGGTGGCCGATCCGACCTGGACTCTGACGACGACGACGACGACGACGACGACGACGACGATAACGATCGCGTTCAGCATCCAACAAGCATCGCCATCGGCATCGTCATCGCCATCGTCTCCGTCTTCCCCCTCCCTCCGCTCCCGAGCGAGGGCAGAGGAAGGGTGGGGAGCGGGCAGGCGCCCTTCGTCCGCACGCGAGCGCGGCGGGCCGCTCGCCCGCGCGCGCGGTGCCCGCCACCGTGGCACCTGGCACGCTGAGGCGTGGTGACGCACGCAGGAAGCCCCTTCCCTGGCGTGGCACGGCGCGTCAGTTGCTTCGCTGCCCCCCCTTCCCCCCCTCCTCCACCCTGCCCCCCTATCCTCCTCCTCCTCCTCCTCCTCCTCCTCCTCCTCCTCCTCCTCCTCCTCCTCCTCCTCCTCCTCCTCCTCCTCCTCCTCCTCCTCCTCCTCCTCCTCCTCCTCCTCCTCCTCCTCTTCTCATTAGTATTATTATTATTAATAATATTATTATTATTATTATTAGTATTATTATTATTATTACTATTATTATTATTAATAATATTATTATATTATTATTATTAGTATTATTATTAGTATTATGATTATTATTATTATTACTATTAGTATTATTACTATGATTATTACTATTACTATTATTATTCGTATTACTATTATTATTCTTATTATTATTGATATTAATATTATTATTAGTAATGTTAATATTAACAATATTATTATTATTTGTATTATTATTAGTAGTAGTAGTATTGTTATTAGTATTAGTATTAATATTACTATTATCATAAGCACTAGCATTCGTAATAATATTAGTAGTATTAGTAGTAGTCTTACTAGTATTCTTATTATTGTTCGTCTTCTAATGATTATTAGTATGCTTATTAGTCGTCGCTGTCTTCTTATTATGCGTATTATTATTCTTCTTAGTATAATTATTATTCTTATTAGTCTTAATAGTATGTGTATTATTAGTCTTAGTGTTCTTAGTATTCGTAGTCGTCTTATTTTTCTTATCATTATCATTATGATCATTATTAGTATTCTTAATGTTATTCTTATTATTATTAGTATTCGTCTTATTCTTAGCGTTCGTATTCTTAGCCGTCTTATTATTATTATGATTATTAGTATTCTTCTTCTTATTATAATAAAGTTTAGTATTATTCGTATTCGTCGTAGTAGTCGTCCTATTCTTCTTAGTATTATTATTAGCATTATTCTCATTCGTAGCATTCGTGTTATTATTCTTCTTATGAGTATTATTATTCTTCTTATTAGCATTCGTAGCCTTATTATTAGTAGTAGTATGCTTATTATTAGTCTTAGCATTCGCATTATTATTCGTATTATTATTATTAGTATTGTTATTATTCTTAATATTAGCATTCGCATTCTTCTTATTATTATTATTAGTCTTCTTCGTCTTACTATTATTCCTATTGTTCTTCCTCTTCCTCCTCCTCCTCCTCCTCCGCCTCCTCCTCCGCCTCCTTCTCCTCCTCCTCCTCTTCCTCCTCCTCTTCCTCCTCCTTCTCCTCCTCCTCCTCCTCCTCCTCCTCCTCCTCCTCCTCCTCCTCCTCCTCCTCCCCCCCCCCCCGAAGGACGCACGCGCGCAGCCGCGTACATGAATACGGCCCCCCGGTTCGCGAGACCAGCCTGATCTTACGAATGTTCGCGCAACGCGTGCTCTCGAAACCAGCGTGGATTCAAATCCGTGTACTTCACTCCCGGGTACAGTCGACTTTGATTGGAGAGGGGGCCTGGAAGAGTACACAATCGGCGGCGAGCCCAGGGAAGAGGTCAGAGGGGACAGGCCTTCTCAGAAGGCGGCAGGGCTTGTCAGAAGCCCTCGCATCTTCTGAGAAGCCGTCTGTAGCTTTGGAGAAGGCTTGAGCTTCTGAGGAATCCTGCCGCCTTCTGAGAAGGCCTGCCCGCTCCCACTTGCACCGTGGGCTCGCCACTGACACAAGACTCTCCCGAGAACGCACTCCTTGCCCCAAGAATGCAGAGGATATGGCACGCGATACCCCTGACTTGGCAGGGCCGACCCACTAAACAAACTCGACCGTTCATGCCGAGGGCCGAATCTTCGGGCTTCTGCAAGCCTCCTAACTTGCCATCGCTCGGACGTCCACTCCCCGTGCATGCTCCGAGTCCGCGCGTGCCTGCTGGGGAAGATGCTCCAGGATGCTCCTCCACGGCCCTCGCCGAGAATCGGCTGTGGACAAACCTCCATTTAGCAAACCGCCCTTTAGCGAAAACGGCCGACGACCGAAACCGACGGGCCCGGACCCGCACACATGACGGCCGCGACGCCCCCTCGCGAACCGAAAACGGCAGACTCGCTAGTCGACGTGTTAGGGTAGGAGCTCTGTCCTCCCCCGAGAGAGAGACATGCGCACGCCCGAGCGAGGGCCACGCTGCAGCTCCCCCACGCCTGCCTCGGCCGCGCGGGCCCGCCCGAGCCCGCACGCCCCGCCTCGGGGGTGGCCCCTGGGCGGCCCCGCGCGCCTCGGGGGCCCTCCGAGGAGCCCGGGCCGGAGCAGGCAGGCCACCGGGGGCGGCCCGGGCGGCCCCGCACTGCCTCGAGACGCACCCGCGGCGGCCCAGCTGTGAGCCCCCGAGAGGGGCCACGGGGGCCCCGAGAGGCTCCCAGGGCACTCGAGGGAAGGCCGCCTTCGGCTCAAGATGGCTACAGGAGGAGCTGGAAGGAGCCCAGTGAGGGCCACACAGGCCCCCCAGGCGGCCGAGGAGAGTCTCAAGAGGACCCCATGGCGCCCATCGAGGTGACAGGGCAGTTCACGAGAGCGTCCCAGGATGACCAAAGAGGGCCCCAGGAGGCCCCGAGGGGGCC